CGTTTTGCTCGAGTGCTGAAGGTAAGCCAGTGGGGCTGCAGAGAACATAAAATGTGGGTGAATTTTAGGAAAACCATGGAGGGGGAGGGGGGAAATATTAAATGAGTTTCTTATGCTTCCTGCATATTTGATTTCGTCCTCTTCCATTCACTTCTTCCTTATTTTTTTCTTCTGCTAGATTTCGAATGACCCAAGTCCAGGATACAACATTGAACAGATGGCAAAGCGGTAAGGGGACTTATGGTGGAAGCACGCTGGCTCCTGGGGCTTTAGGGATTTTCCCGTATACATTAACAAAATTTGGGAGGGACTTTGGAGGGTGAGAAGCCAGCTGACTGTAGGCTTAGTGCCTGGTATACTCATTCCCACATAGAGGCAAGAAGCTAGTTGAGCTGCCATACACCGTAAAGGGGATGGACGTCTCATTCTCAGGGATCCTATCTTTCATTGAGGTGAGTGTGAGAGAGGTGATGAAACAGGCACTTTCGTGCTTTTTAAATAAAGCATATCTGCTTTGCTTACTGTTGTATTTCATATAGCACAGTGTATTTATATAGCACAGTGCTGGTCCATATCATGTGCTGGGTAGATTCATTTAGAAGGTACTTACTGAATATCTTTGTGTGCCAGGTACTGTTTTAGATAGTAGAGATGCAACATGGAGCGAAACAAAAATCCCTGCCTACATGGAGTTTTGATTCTAAGTTAGGGAGCAGGGGAGATAGAAAGAGGAAAATAATGAAGTTTCAGATGGTGGTGAGTACAGGTAAAAAATTAAGCAGGGTAAGGGGTGAGAGATGCCAGGACAAGCATTCAAAAAGTAATTACTGCATCTTAAATGAATACTGCTCATTCTATACCATGATGCCAATGAAGGGAATGTACAGGATGTGCTGGTAACTTGATTTGTGGTAAAACATGGTGATCCTCCGAATATATTAATTTTTGCTCTCATGTAATCGCAAAACCATGATTTATTTATTTATTTATTTTTTATTGTCTGAAGTGAAAACAAAATGATTTGTTGATTCATTTGTTTTTCTCTTTAATTATAGGATGTAGCCCATCGGATGCTGGCCACAGGCGAGTGTACTCCTGAGGATCTGTGTTTTTCCCTGCAGGTAATGAATTAAAAAGCTGGGACAGAAAGTTGGGGCTGGAGGAGCTTTTATATAGTAGAGCAGAACCCAGCTGGGATACCCCTCTGATCTTTTCTCCTTGTCTGTCCCCGACAGGAAACCGTGTTTGCAATGCTGGTAGAGATAACAGAGCGAGCCATGGCACATTGTGGCTCCCAGGAGGCCCTCATTGTAGGAGGAGTGGGGTGTACGTACTGTTGAACAATTTTCTCTTTTCTGTTCTTAGCACTCTGCCTCTTCCTCCTGATATTCTAAATCATGAGGGGTTTGGGGTATGCTTCCCAATCCTTGCCCTGATCCCCTACGTCATTGTTCTAAAAGTAGGTGTATGTGATGTATTCTGCTGGACCACGAAGAGGTAGCTAAAACTAAGCTAACCCTGTTCCCTGCCTCTTTGTAGGTAACGTGAGGCTGCAGGAGATGATGGCGACGATGTGCCAGGAACGTGGAGCCCGGCTTTTTGCTACAGATGAGAGGTAAAGACACTTTACCTTTGGTTTCTTTTTTACTTCTCCTGTTCTTGTGATTTCCCACCCTTAGATGCCAATTTTCATATCGCTTTTGCATCCCAGATTTTGTATTGACAATGGAGCCATGATAGCTCAGGCTGGCTGGGAGATGTTTCAGGCTGGACACAGGACCCCCCTCAGTGATTCTGGGGTTACACAGAGGTGAGTGATTCACCTCTTGGTGAGGATAGATTATTGGGATGTAGACAAAAATCAGCAGGGAAGAGAGTCCAGGAACATGAGGGCAGAGAAGAATGGAAGATGTTAAGGGCTAGTTCTCCATCTTGATTTTTCTCTTTTTCTGCAGGTATCGGACAGATGAAGTAGAAGTGACCTGGAGGGACTAATAAGATTAACAGAATCAGAGTAGATAGTTCCCTAATTGGAACCCGAAGGACCCTGTGCGTCAATCTCTATCCTGATGTCGTGGGAGTCCTAGCAAAGCTATAGACTCCAAGCAAGGCTTGGGGTCCTTCATGGAACCCCAAGATGACTCAGCAATAAATTTTTTTTTTTTTGGTTTTATATGTTGGTGGTTGGATGGTGTTGTGCAGGACCAATATATAGATTTGGTGTTTGATAAATTCTTGTTGGAAGCTGCTGCTGTGGAGCCAAGAATGAGGTATCCTTTTTTTTTGCCTTTTCTTTTTTTTTTGGTTAATAAATGGAATCTTGCTGTGTTGTCCAGACTGGTCTTGAACTGGGCTCAAGCAGTCTTATCACCTCAGCCTCCTGAGTAGGCATGCCATTGTGCCTGGCAACAATAGTATTATAACTATTATTATTTCAGTATTAGGTCCTATTTTAACTGCTTTACATTCATTCTCTCATTTAAATTCTTTGAAGTAGATACTCAAGACTTCTCTTCAAACAGCTTGGAGGCTGGGTGCAGTAGCTCACACCTGTTATCCCAATGCTTTGAGAGGCCAAGGCAGGAGGATCCCTTGAGCCCAGGAGTTTAAGCCAAGCCCAGGCAACGTAGCCAGACACCATCTACTCGAAAAATCTAAAAATTACCTGGGCATGGTGGCACACTATAGCTCCCTGGGAGCAGTGGCTCAGTCACAGCTTACTGTAGTCCCAACTCCAAGGGAGGCTGAGTTGGGAAGATAGCTTGACCCCAGGAGTTTGAGATCACAGTGAGCTGCGATTCTGCCACTGCATTCCAGCCTGGGTGACAGAACAAAACCTTGTCTCTTAAAAACAAACAAACAGCCTGGAGATTGGTCTAATTTGTAACTCTAGAGTAAAACTGCCTCTACTCCATATACTTTCCCCTACATGAACAAAGCAGTGATTCCACTGTTTTGTTCGCATCTACAGTACCTACCTTTTCTAACTCTAGCAGCTCTTCCACTGTGCCCTCTGAAACTGATAGCCAGTCATATGTCAAATTCTCTGTATCTCAGCCTCTTCTCTGAATGTTCCCTTCACATTCACACTCTTCAGACTTGGTTTCTTACAAGGACTCTTACTTGGCAGTGGTGGTGTTTTCCCTCTCGCACCCATTGTACCACTGGGCCTGGAGGTGGTGCACGTGTCCTCATTTTTTCTCATACTGTTTCCAGACCATTGTCCCTTATCCCTAGGACCCTTCTGCTTTGAAACAAACTAGCACACGAACACCACTGTTGTCATAAATCTTGAGGATTTCAGTGTTCTGGTAGATCATTCTAACACCACTTCAACCACTTATTTCTTTGGTCCTGTGCTAGAGCTGCAGGTCCTCCACATCTCAGTTTCAAATAGCCGACTCTCTGCTACCACCACCTCCTATCTTTCCAGTACATTTTCGTTAGTATGCGAAATCCAGCAGTTCATCCCTTCACCAGGACCTATGGTCCACTGATCATACTTCCTTTCACAGATTTTATCCCCCACGTGTTTTTATTTCCCTCCTCCTTCAGCTAAATTCCCATAATCTGCCTCATTTCCTTTCCCCTCTTTTGCTTTTGGCATATTCAGCTGATTACCTGCCTAAGACCCATGGAGCCGAAAAGGCTAGTAAAAAATAGCTATGCTGACTGATGTTTAAATTTATGACTGTGACACTAAACTGGGTCCTTTAGGCCACCCATAAATAGACCATTTCTCTAGTCCTTTCACTTGCCCTCTTCTCTAGTAACTCTCTGAGACCTTCTGTCCTCTCAAATCTCTAACATCTCCCCCTATTCTCTGACCTTGGTTCCTATTTCAGTAAGAAAATAGAAGCAGTCAGTATACATTTATAGCCTTCTACCCTTGAAACTAACCACCTTCAAGCATCTGTACCCATGTCCTCTGCCTTCCTTCCTGTTACCATGAACCAGTGGTTCTCAACCAGAGCTGATTTTGCTTCTTAGAGGACATTGGATTGTCACCACGGATTAGAGGATACTTTACTGATTAAAAGTCAGGGCTGGGTGCAGTGCTTCACGCCTGTAATCCCAGCACTTTGGGAGGCCGAGGTGGGTGGATCACTTGAGGCCAGGAGTTCCAGACCAGTCTGAGCAGCATGGCAAAACCCCATCTCTACTAAAAATACAAAAAGTCAGCTGTGCGTGGTGTCACACGTCTGTAATCCCAACTACTCAGGCACAAGAATCGCTTGAACCCAGAAGGCAGAGGTTGCAGTGAGCCGAGATCATGCCACTGCATTCCAGCCTGGGTGACAGCAAGACTCTCTCAAGGGATAATTCTCCCTGTTTTCCTGTAGAGTCAGTATTTCCTTCTGTCCTGAATCTTGCCATCATCACACAAAGATGCCACTGTTTTCCTCATTTCACAAATAATGCCCTCTTGACCCCATTTGCCCTTCCAACTGCTTCCCATTTTTCTGTTCCACTTTGCAGCAAAACTTAAAAAGCCTTGTCTTCAATTTCTCTTTAAAATCTCTACCAAAACTATTCTTACCACATTCACTAATGACTTGCACATAGCTAAGTCTAATGGCGTATTCTTCATCTTCAGAAGCTATCAGCAGCATTTGGCACTTCCTCTTTGAAACAGTTTCCTTACTTGGCTTTAGGATGCATTTTCTCGTCTGCCTCCTAGTTTACTGACTGCGCTTTCTTAGTCTCCTTTGCCAGTTTCTCCTCATCTCCACAGAGTTTAGTCCTCAGACTACTCTCTTTACACATATACCTGTGACTCCCAGTTACAGCTCCAGCCTGGACTTCCATCCCAAATACCTAGCTGCCCATTGGCACCTCTACTTGGATGTTTAATAGGCATCTCGGCCGGGCGTGGTGACTCATGCTTGTAATCCAAGCACTTTGGAGGCCAAGGTGGGCAGATCACCTGAGGTTGGGAGTTCAAGACCAGCCTGACCAACATGGTGAAACCCCGTCTTTAAAAAAAAAAAAAAAAAAAGACATCTCAAATTTAACATACTCAAAATTGCACTTACTTCTCCAGTTGTTCATGCCAAAGTATCTTTGGCAGTTTTATTTCTTCTTCTCCAGTTCATCAAATCCTCTTGGCTCCACCTTCAAAGTATATCCAGAATTCCATTTCTCCTCACTTCCACTGCTGCCACTGCAGATCAGGTATCTACAGTGGCAGCAGTGGAAGTGAGGAGAAATGTGAGAATTCTGTATCTTCAGAATTATTGTTGTGGCTGGTCTTTTTCCTTTGACCATTGCTACTTAGAGTCAATTCTCCACATAGCAGCCAGAGTGAATAGCGTTAGCATGGAAACCAGATCAAGTTACTCTTCTGCTCAAAACCCTCAGTATTTTCTTACATCAAAGGAAAAATCAGAGTCTTTTTTAAAGGCCTGTGAGGCCCTCTGTGATCCACTCTGCCCTTCCCCACCTACCACTTTCATCCACTACTCAATTCTTTGTTTGCTCAGCTCCACCAACACTAGCTTTTCTGTTGGCCTTTAAACACCACAGTTGTCCTCTGAGGTGGGAGCAGAGCATTGGGCACTTGGTAAATGCAGAGTTCATTTTCTAGTCCTGTTCTGGTTTTTATGTCCCGATCTTCCCTTTCCTGTTCTCCCTGGAGCTTGGAGAACTTGGGAGTTCCTGGGGAGCCCTGGAGTCCCTACCGTCATTACTGAGCCAGTAGACGTCCACAGTCCTCTGGCCCTGCTTGCATTGGAACATTGTTTGAGGCTGCTGGAGTAAGGATGCTGCCTGAGAAGAGAGTAAGAAAGAATGAGACAAACTCCTTACGCAGCTGAGCAACTGCTCCTTGTATCGTACCTCTCTTCCCCTAAGAGAATTACTGCTATTCCAGAGAAATGTCATGTGGCTTCTCTCCATATTGACTAACCACATTCCCTTTTCATTTTCCTGGGTGCCTGCTTCTCTAACCCACTCTCAACTCTGTTTTTCCTAAAACAGGACATGTTTTAGGATTGGTCTCCTTTCTGCTAAGTATCCATCCCTATGACGTCCAAATATTCAGGGTTTACTGGGAAAAGTGGGGCTATCTTTTGTGTTGTAACACAAAATAATGTTATCTTTCTACTAAGGATGCCCCAAATGTAAACTGGCAAGATGTGTAATATTACTAGAATTAGGGTAGTGCTGGAAACCATTCTCTAGAATTGGACCGTAGCCCTTCCTGACCACACTCCAGCTCACCCTACTATGTTTTATCTTTTGATCAAAATTTCTCCCACCTGACATTCAAAGCTTTCCCCCACCCCAAACATTTCAGGAGAACCAAACGTCAAGCAAATTCATTTCTCTCACATCTGGTACCCAATTCTATTCAGTCTTAGGTCTTGGTAACTCTAGATGAGCTCATGTGCCTCCCAGATTGCCTTTGAGAGCCAATTTCTATACCTCTCACACCATGTCCTTCTCTTATTCCTCTTTTCACTCACCTTGAGCTTGGCGTTGAGTAGCCAGGCTTAACCCTCCTGGCATCCTTATGAGGCTATGCCATAGTAGTAATCAAAGGCATCACTTTATGGAGAGGAGAGAAAAGGTCTAGGAGGAAGAGATGAAGGAGTGGGAGTCTTTTTCCTGGGGACACAGGCGCTGCTGGGCAGCTGTGGGAAGCAAGGTCTTCACCATGATTATATTTCCTCTCATTATTAGTTCCTGACCATTTGTATGCCCATCTTACTCTTCTCTATCTCACATTTACAGTAGAATACCTATGTAATACTTGACAGCAGATATAGGCCCTTTCTGCCAATTTTGCTGATAACCCAGGATAAGTACATTGGACTTCAGTTGGTTCAAACACGAGACCTGAAAGGAGAAGCAACTAGGAAAGAAGGGGGTATGGTATGTTGGGTGAGGGGTGACCAGAAGACTCCCTTTTTCTCCACTACTCCTCCCAGAATTCAGGAAGCTACTTTCCTTCTGTGTCTGAGCAGATAGCCCTGCAGAGGTTCATGGTTCTTGCCATGGGCTTTCCCAAAAAGCCAATAGTCTGCAAGAACGAGTCGTGTTATATTAAAGAATCAAGTGGACCAACTGGGAACTGTGATAAAACTGGAGAGCACCTGCCTTGTCCCACAGGAGAGGAGCTACTCAGCCCCAGCTAACTGTGTCTTGTGGGATGGAGGCCCAGGATTAGCAGATGCCTGGATCTTAAGTGTTGGCAGTTTATTTTAAAAATTGTAAATGTTGTGCAATCAAAATCCAGACGAAGATCCCATTCCTTGGCTACCATTTTCAACCTCTGGTCTAGAGACTTCCTTACTGGAAGTTCTTAATGTGATCTTGCACATTGGTGAGGCTCACTCAGGACAGTGCCATGTGATAGGTGTCTGCCTGGATTGAAGAGCCCCAGTTCACAACTGCAAAGAGGAAGGGGTGGTGCAGAATGATAGGGGTGGTGCATCAATCGTCGGGTAGAAGAGGAACGAGATTTTACTGTTAGTAATTCTGGGCTTTTTGTGGGGGTCAGCCTCCTGTTGTAACTCACTTCCTGACTCCTTACTCACCCTCCTACTCACTCACTAGGTTTCTTATAGAGCAACAGCAGGAGGAACCCGCCATGTGAGGAGGAACATGATGAGCAGGCAGAGCAGAGAGCCCAGGAGGGAGAGCAAGGGACTTTACCTGCAGAATGAAGGGCACCAGCCTGCAGGGAAGAGCAAATGCAGGCCCTTGTCCTGACCTCAGCACCACCCACTCATGTACCCCAAGGATGTCTTCCCAACTCCTCAGGTCTTTCCAGCCCTGGACCTTACCTCAGCACCTGCCCACATTAACCAGGCAGCCAGGTAAGGTAGGTGTAGAAACAGCCAAAGTTGATGAGGGCACAGGCACAGAGCAGGAAGTTGGTGATGATGGGGGCAATGCTGTTTAGCTCGGCTTTAGGGGAGATGAAAGGTCAGGAGTGAGTCTCCACACTAGCGTCATAAGATCCAGGTCTGGAAGTCAGGGACATAATTTTATGGCTTTCCCCATTCTCTCTATTCCCTTCTTACTCCACCTGCACATTCCCTTCTCCTTACTCCTTGCATACCACCCCTACCACTGCAAACTTTGGAGACATTTTCGTCCACTTTTAGGAAAACAGCAATAGAAAAGAGGCTTTAGGATCAGGTCCTAGAAGCCAGAGGTAGGGCTGGGAAGGGCATGAGAGGAATGGTGATTAATAGAGCCTGGTGTGGAGGGTGGGGTGAGGAATAAGGATGAAACCTACAGCAATGGGGAGGGTGAGCAGATAGCTCCACAGAGGCTTGTGGTTCTTGCCATGGCCTTCCCCCTCCCCCGCAAAAAGCCAATGACTGGGTATGGTTTATCGTGGCACAGCTGCTCCCGACACCATGCTTCTGGCCTGAGGAAAAGGGCAGACAAGCAAAAATCAATGCATTCCTAAAACAATGCTTTCTACCCATGTTTTCACCTAGTTTTCCCAGACTTCTTAGAATTTATCTGCATCTTTGAAGGTTTTACCCCATTCACATGAATCAAGCATCTATGCTATGCCAGGCAATGGGCCAGGCTTCACTCTCTATACTTCTCCTCTGGTTCACTCACCTCGTAGTGACTAGAGAGCCCATAGAGGCAGGACCCTTGCTCTCGACAGCCGCTGAAATCCCAGCCATATTGGACTTTGCGGCCAGGCAACTCCCATTCTGCACACCCTTGTCAGTCCTATTTTCTGAAGCATCTTGAATCATATAGGAACCTGGAAATGGGATTGAGGATACATATTTCTTCATGGGACTAAAACCCCATCCCAGAGCAGTAGGGCTGTCAAGGTACCACCAGTACCAAAAGGCGAAATGGAAGTGTCTATATGGCAGGGGTTGGGGGAATAAGGAAATGACCAAGTTTGATAATCACAGAACACCATACAATTCATTAACAGATAAGAGGGATGCGGGAAACATGAAGGGAGGAGTGGGAGTCACTATAGACTCACCAGCCTTGATGTTGCCTTTGCTGGAGAGGGCTGAGATAGACAACCCAGTGACAGTATGATTGAAGCCAAGAATAGGATAATGAGCCATGGGCACCCTGGGGTGAGGATGCCCCCTTCAGAAGCACTCCCCTAAAACCCCTGGAGCAAAGAGTTCTTACCTGCCTAGATCCCCAGACTTAGGGAACCATGAGCTCCAATCCATTACCATGACTTCTGTGACCCAGCTGAAGTGCACTGGGGCCTTGCTGGTCCTGGCCCCAGAATTCTCCAGATCATCTTGGGAGTGTGGCTTGGTGTGGGATTCCTCTGTCGAGGTGAATGTGGTGCTATATCCTGGCCAAAACAGCACATACATAACAGATACCAAGACCCCTCGCTAGCCATTGCATCTGCAACCAGGAGGATAGCTAATGGACCTGGAGGGCAGTCCCAGAGCTGTAATGGAAGGTGGTGGTAGCCCACACGCAGATTTTATTCTACCTTCAGGAGTTTACTGTGGGACCTGGGTCTTACCAAGCTGCATGGAGCCATCCCAGGACTATGGAGTTGGCATAGAACTCATAGCAGGGTCCAGGGTCCTCATCCTTATAGGCAGGTGGTGAACAGAGGCTGGCTTGGGGTATGACTCTACCAGACTGCAGTTCCTCCACCTCCTGGTGGGCGGCGGGGGTCAAGATGCTAGCCACATTGTCTTGCTGCAGGGAGGCTGTGAGAGGCATCTGAAATGTATGAACTGGGAAAGAGGGTTCAGACCCTGGACACTATCTCCCCTTATGCTGGCCAGGACAACCACAAACTGCCTCTCGGTCATTTTGGAAAGTACACCTACTGGCTAGGCTCACCCAGGGAATGCTAACTACTAAGAGTTGCCAGAGGTACCCAGGCAACAAATGGGGAAATAGAGACAGCTCTGAAAATAGGAGGGGGTGCTGTGAGGGTCAGCCCACTTTCCCACCCTACCCCACCCTCCACATGATCCCTTTCATCTGAATCACAAGGGACACTCATACCTCCTTCCCTTATTAAGTCTGCCTGTGGAGTCAACCTATCTAGCCTGGGCCAGACATTTTATAGGCCAGGAAGTAGCCGCCCTTGGCCTACCCGACCTCCCTAAGAGAAGGGAGAGGAAGTATATCACTGCATCTTCCCCCAAATCCTTTCCCCAATATGATACTCAAAACTGTGGCACAAAGTGATTGCCTGGCTTTTAGGGGATTTAGTCAAGCACCTGGTCTCAGGATAAGAAAAGAGGTGTCCTGGAGGGAGAGGGAGTGGCTGTTACTGACTGGTTCAAACGGAATACCTGCATGCCCATAGCCCATCTAGTCCAGGACTCTGGTCCACACAGCATGCAGCTCAATCACACCTTCCACTATCTGGTTCTTATCCCAGTGCCAAGATGAGAGTTAGAATTGCCCAGACTTTTCCAAAGACACAGGGTTGAATTTCAGGCTCTCACCCTGGACCCCACCTCTGGACAGAGAGAAAGCCCTGTGCTGGGGGTGAGACATCTAGGTCCATAGCCCTGATCCCTGCCCCTTCACTTTCCCCACACCTCTGTCCTCTATGGATAAGGCTGGGCTATGTTCGCTCCTGGGTCTCAGCTGTTCCCTCCTGGGTCCTAGATTTTTTGTTTTTTGAGATAGGGTTTTCTCTGTCACCCAAGCTGAAGTACAGTGGTGCAACCTCGGCTCACTGCAACCTCTGCTTCCTGGGCTCAAGCGATTGTCCCACCTCAGCCTCCTAAGAAGCTGGGGCTAAAGGTGTGGCCCGCCATGCCCAGCTAATTTTTATAGTTTTTGGTAGAGATGGGGCTTCACCATGTTGCTCAGGCTGGTCTCAGACTCCTGGCCTCAAGTGATCCATCCGCCTTGACCTCCCAAAGTGCTACAACTACAGGCATGAGCCACCACGCTCAGCTAATTTTTGTATTTTTTGGTAGAAATAAAAAAACTGGGGTTTCATCATGTTGCCCCCGCTGGTCTCAAACTCCTGGGCTCAAGTGACCCACCCACATCATGCCTCCCAAAGTGCTAGGATTACTGGGAAGAGCTGCCATGCCCGGCCAGGTCCCAGCTTTATCATGCACAGAAAAGTCAACAGCCAAAGCCCAGTCCAGACTCTTTGCCTGACCCTTCCAGCCCACTCTGGTGAGCACAGCCCTTCTGGCCTTGGGCTCATTCCATCGGATCCCCTCATTCTCCTTACTTTTCTAATTTGCCTAGCTCAGCACTCTTGTATGACCTATAGGTGGGAAGGTGGGGGTGTCAATCTGGGAGGGAGCCCAGGGGATTGGGTGTCAGAGTTAGGACACCAGGTGCCAAGTGCCTAGCCAACCACCACCAGCTATAATTAGCCCCATGGGGCCACTGGCTGACTGGGATGCCATGTGGGCAAGTTCCCTCTGCCACACAGCCCCAAGCACAGCAGGGGCTCAAGTAAGAGGGCAAGCGGAACACTGGTGTCTCCTGAGGGTGACTAAAAGGATGGGGGCAATGGGGAGGAGTGTGGCACAGGATCTTTACCTGGCTTCTTGCATGTTTTGCTGTACCGTTTGTATCCCATAGTTGCCCTGTATATCCCTGATACTCCAGTGTTGGGATGTGGCTGGGGGTAGGAGGAGGGTGTTGGAGCAGGGGAGAGACTGACATTTTGACCGGCTGGAGACATGGTTCCTCTGGCCTCTCTGGGTCCAGCTCTGACACTAGGCTGTCTTGCTTCTGCTCATCTGCAGCTATCCAGCAAACCCCGGCATGAGCCTCTCGGACACCCCACATTATCCTTCTCAGCTGGAGAGTATCTCTCTTCCCGTCCAGGACTGCCTTGGACTCCCCGTGCACGCCCAAAGAGCCGCTTCCTGGCCTTCCTCCCCCGACGAGGATCCCAGTTTGCCTTCTTTTCCTCTGGAAGAGCCTGGCCCCAGGACCCTGGTCCCAGGGAGCCTTCCCTTTTCAGCCTTGTTCCTAGAGGAAGAAGAGGAAGAGGATGAAGATGAAGACGAGGAGGAGCCCGAGTGGCTGCGCAGCGAGGAGCATCCGAGCCAGTTTTTCGCCGAGGCCCAGCGGCTGCGGGAGCAGAGATTGTTGCTAGACGAAGAGGTGTCAGTCGCGGGGCGGGTATACGGGGTGCATCTGGTGATCCTGGCCGCAGTCAGCAGCCTCTTCCGAGACAGGCTGCTGGGCGGCGGAGGTCCGCGGCCCCTCTTAAGCCTCGAGGTGTCCCCAGGGGGATGGGAGGCCGTGCTGACCTTTGCCTATGAGGGGGTGCTGGGCCCCGCCCCGCAGGGGGATGTGCTGGCGGCCGCCGAGGCGCTGGGAGCGCCCCGGGTGAAGGCTGCTGCCCAGCGGAGATGCGAGAGGGCTGGAAATGCCCGGGAAGATGTAAAGGAGCCCAGCCAGGCAGAGGAGCTGAGGGAGAACCTGCGCGGAATCGAGCTTCTCTACCGAGAGGGCGTCGGCTGTGACTTGAAGCTGGAGGCAGGCGGCTGCCAGCTGCGGGGTGAGGGCTTGTAGGGCATTAAATTACTGCAGGTGCATATGCTGCCGGAATGGTGTGTGCAAGCCGCAGGCGGTTTGATCCCCACCTTGATGGTTTCGATCCCTGCTGCTGTCAGAATTTCCCTGGGATGGCCTTTGGTGCCTCTCATGCCGCACCGAGAACTGAGCATGCGCAGTTGAGTTGTTTTCTAGGCGAGCTGACAGATTTAAACTGACTCTCTGTCTGGCTTTTCCTGTGTCCAGTAACAAGGCATTTCCAGCCAGCTGGCTAGAGCTAAGGGTACAATCCATGGCAGTAGAACAAGCAGAAAGTGGATTGACTCAAACAGAAATCAACCAAAGGCCCTTCTTGGCATCTTCCATTTGGGACACAGGAAAGCCAGGGGAACATGGTGGAAAACTCAGTGTGTCCTTTCACCTTGGTGTGCTTGACTCACGGGCCCTGCAACTAATGAGCAAGTTCTGGTACTGTTTAAGGTCACCAGGTCAGGGGCCTTTTTTATTTTTTTTTCTTTCCTCCTCTGAGACAGGGTCTCACTCTGTCACCCAGGCTAGAGTGCAGTGGCATGATCTTAGCTCACTGCATCCTTCACCTCCTGGGTTCAAGTGATTCTCCTGCTTCAGCCTCATAAGTAGCTGGGATTGCAGGCGCCTGCCACCACACCTGGCTAAATTTTTTGGTATCTTTTACTAGAGATGGGGTTTTACCAAGTTGACCGGGCTGATCTAGAACTCCCGACCTCAAGTGATCCACCTGTCTCGGCCTCTCAAAGTGCTGGGATTACAGGCATGAGCCACCGTGCCTGGTCTGGCCATGGTACTTTGAAGTTAACCCTGCTCATCACCAGGAAAGCTAAGTAGGGTTGCGTAAGTTGGGTGTTATTCAGAGTCTACTAACATTTAGTGAGGCAATGGGTGCCTGAAACTTTTACACATGACATCTCTTTTAATTTTCACTGAAAGCTAGTGAGGTCAATATCATTATCTATAGGTGCAAATAAGGAACATTAAATTCAGAGATGTTGACTTACGACAACCAGGATACAAGTCCACATTACTAGTCCAGTCTGCTTCCATGAACTAGGCCATGCAATGCCTCCTATGCCATTATTCCAAGACACCATAGGACCTGGAAAATGAAGTTGCAATGTGGACACATGAAAGTTTAAAGTT